ATGACCCTCATGGCTCCAACAGAACCTGATGACAACCCTCTATTTGTTACTTATGATTTTATGGTTGACGAGGTAAATGTTGACTTGTGGTCATTGTGGACCATAAGATTTGATTGACACAATCACGCATATAACATTTGATTGACCTAGAGGTTTTAGTCTTAATCCGCGGATTACTTATAGAAGAGTAAGATTGGTGGTGACAATTATACTTTGGATGTCTTCGAACTTTTATGATAGTAAGTAATCTGCCCATATTCCTTTTATCTTAGATAATGGTTCTAGGACTTCTTCTAACCATTGTATGAATCAATATGTTGGTTGTAGCATTTGCAATACTTTATAGTATATGTAAACATAGTTTACTTTGGATGTACGTCCTCCAGAGTCCAGTCATACTTGTGAATATCATTAGCATTTTTCAATTGTTCCATGAGTATCATGAAATTCAGTGAGCTTATTGCAAAGCCTATAATCCTTATAGAACTACCTTATATAACCCAATTTTTGTTAATAACTACCTTATTAATTTTTATTTTTTTAATAACTACCTTATATAGACAATTTATATTGATAGCACTACCTTAAACAGAAAACATCCATTTTTTCTGTTAAATGGGACCATCACTAACATCTTCCCTTCCTATAATACTTGTGATATAATATACTCGATGAAGTCTGTGCGATGCACAGTTTGTTTATATTTTTTAATCAAATATTTTATCTTTTTTTTAGTTAGATCTTAGATATTTAGATGATATTTTAATTTTAATCAAATAAAAAAGATAGTATTTTTTTATTTTAAATAATAAAAAAATAATGTTTAGTTTGTTTATTTTGCTTATGTGGCAATCTTTTTTTATTGGTTAAAATCCCCTACATTCCTAATTATGTGGCAACACGGTTAAATAGGATCCTACGTGGACGCGCTCAAAGCTCTTAGAAAACTCAACTTTATATATATGCACGTTTTTTTTTTGTTTTTTTTAATATATTTTTTAATCAAATATATTATTCTCTTTCGTTAGATCTTAGATTATAAAAAAAAATAAAATTTAAATAATAAAATGATAAAGTCTTAAATTTAATTTGTTTATTTTGCTTATGTGGCAATCTCATCTCCTGATTTTTTTTACGTGGCAAATTTAATATTTTATTATTTTAAATAATAAAAAGATAATATTTAGTTTGTTTATTTTGCTTATTTGGCAATCTCCTTTTTTATTGCTTAAAATCTCCTACATTCCTAATTACGTGGCAACACGATTAAATAGATTTCTACGTGGACGCTCTCAAAGCTCTTGAAAAACTCCCCTTTATATATATACTAGTTTTGAGCCCGGGCAATGCCCGAATTGGTTATAATTCTTAACATATAATATTGATACAAATTATATTCTATAAGAGATATAGTCTCTTTTTGATTTAGGATATTTGAGGTAGAATATAGTCTCAAAGCTCTTGTTGAGGTTTTTTAAGAGATATAGTCTCTTTTTGGTTATAATTCTTAACACAGAATAATACACAATTTGTTATTTATCGTTTGACTCCTACAGTCTTGGTAGATATGCTATTTTTTTCTTTTATATTAAAAAATAATAGTATAGACAATTTTTATCATAAGTGTCAAAAAAATCATTATATGTCGCCTACGTGAATACGTGATGCGACACTTGGCAAAAAACTAGTACGACAAGTGTCGCTATCTCGTGTCTGACTAATAGTTTAGCTTTATATATTAGTTATATGATATTAGATTTAATACAAGTATACAATAGCTCTCAGTCCCTCACTGATTGTTCAACCCAATACCGACTTCACAAGGACTGTACATTCTCATTGGTAGCAAAAGTTTTGTTAAATTCTCCTAAATAGCAATACTTTTATAATTATTCTCTTATATAGCTTATTTAATTAAATCTAACATAATTAACCTAAAACTCACTAACCATAATGACTTATTATTTATTTTTCTTAACATTCACCTTCATAACCTCCGTATCAATGGCTTTTATAAATACAAAAGCTAACCACCCATGTGCTGTTATTGGTCCTAAGAATCACATCTTATCTATTATCATATGAAAAACCTTTAAGCTTGCAGAAGAGTTACTTAAGCAATAAAAGTTGCAAAAGTTTTGTCTTTTATCAAATGTTAACCATAAAAAAAAAAAAATTAAAAGATAAAAATAAAAAAAAAAATTAAAAAAAATAAATAAATAAAAATAAAAATCCTTTCATGTGAAGGATTATATCCTTTCATGAAACTGATTAAATTTGGCTATGATGAATCATATCCTTTCTCAACGAACATCAGCATACATTTCCCAGTATTCAATAATCGCGTCGATTTATTTGATCAATGTCATCCACAACAACTTTAACATCACCACTATTATATTGAAACTTCAACTCAATTTCATCACCCATTCTGCAATTTTCAAACAAAACCATATTTTTATTTCACCTTTCATAATCCAGACAAAAAATTCAGATACCCTAATTGGTTTAATAAAATACGCACCAAGGGTAAAAGTACTCGAGCATATATATTAAATACAAAAAAGGTAAATAAAACAAACTCTAAATAACACCCCTTTTTTTTTTTTTTTTTTTTTTTTTTTTTTTTTGGGAAAGATAGCAAGCATATTATTAGAGTAGATCCATTTCCGCCAAAGTTAAAATGGTTTTGGGAAAGTTGTTCACACTTCACACGTACAACCACATAATGACAACTAGTATCCCACCTAGCAACTAAGTGAGCTACGGTATTACGTATTACATGCTCTTAGTAAATAAACAAACATCAAGCAATTTACATCTTTCCTAATATCATCATAAATAGCATTAATAGGAGCTAAATCACCTTCCTTCAAGTTTGCTGCCTTTATAACATTGATGGCATCAGCTTCAATCCAAACCTTAGAGTAGCCAAGTCTGCGAGCACGCTGAATTGAATGCCTCACAGCAGCAGCCTCAACATTCAGGAGTAGAAATGTGAGCTTTCTTTGTTGCAGCCAACAAAATTTTCCCCTGCTCATTGCGGAACACCACTCCCAGACCAGCAGATCCGTGGCCTGGAACGTGGGCATCCACAATGGCCTTTATGATCCCCTGTGGAGGGGAAGACCAGCTTGGGGAGCTCACGGTATTGACAGCATCGACACCCACAGGAAACACGCGCCTAGCATACTCAGCGTACTCCTTAACAAGTCCTGTGAAGCCAGCAGCTAGCATGACAACATTCGGCCTTTCATTCTCATAGACAATCAGATTCCTACATCTCCACGAAGCCCACATCAAGGCTGAAGACACAGTATTGCTCATTATATTTTAAAGAGTATTTTTGAATCAAATGGTTCAAAGACAAATGGGGACAAAAAGGAGTAGTACTATAATACACTGATGACGGTTCAATCAATCAATCAAAGTCTTAATCCCATAAGTGGGGTCGGCTAACATAATAAATAATAGAAGGAACAGTCTGAATTTTAAGTGAAAAAAAAAATGAAACAATTATAACAACTACAAGTCTGCACACGATATCCTCAACTAAAAAAACTTGACTACAATTCATCATCTTCAACCTCTGATTCCTCTTCCTCTTCCTCTTCCTCTTTTTCTGACTACTCTTTCAATTTCAACTTCAATCAATTCCTCTTCCTCTTCCACTGTTAAAATTTGGGACAAAAAAAAAAAAAAAAAAAAACTTACAGCATATATAAATTAAGATGATGCCCAATCCCTACCATACATACATCATAACAACCTTGTGTAAGGGTTTTGTTGAGGAATGCATGTTGTCCGGTTAACAAGTTGCATATGATATAACAACACCAATTAGATTCATAATCAACAAATAAGATAACACCATTACATTCATTAACCATAGTAAGTTCCTTCACTAATTCGGGTTTCAGCTCCATAACTGAATCGATATTATTAGTATTAAGATTACCCATCTCCTCGACAATACTTGTTGAGGTTTTTTCTATGTCAACCAGCATAAGAGTATTCTCACTTTCATAGGATAAACCGCCAAGCAATAGAGAGATATAGCAGCCATGAGAACGCCATAAATCAGCAAATTCAGGATCGCTGATGATGTTATACCAATCTTTGCATACAAGTTACAAACCAAGCATGTTCTTGTAGGATGTTTTGACAAAATATCCCAAATTATTGGTATCTACTTTTTGTACAATCTATTCATAATTGATCGAAAAGTTTTTTTTATCCTACGTTTAACCCACCACTTATATTGAATAAACGAGGTATTTATACAAGTAGCCTTAGAACTTGGTTACTTTTTTTTTTTATAAGGAAAAGAATTGGACTTGGTTAAATTATTAAGAAACAATTCCAGCACCTTAGAAATTCCTATCGATAATAAAAATATCAATTGTAAAAAGATATTATTCACGAAATCATATCTTAACATAAGTAATAAATAATATCTGTACAAAATAGAAAGTTTATCATTTATGTTTGAACATAAAAGATATCTTTACAAAATAATAATAATTTATGTTTCTTTTTTAATGTGAAAATTATCACGGTAATATATTTTTTTAAATATTCACAACATGATTTCCTACAAAAAAAAAAAAAGATATATATATATATATAGAGAGAGAGAGAGAGAGAGAGAGCATATTGATTTGTGTGATGAACTTCTGTACTGTGATCCAACAAGAATCCATGAATTTGCAAACAGCTTTTGTATAATGTTCCAAAAGGAATCCATGAAACAAGAGGTAGCACATAGTTTCTGTTAATTAGATGTTGGAGCTGAGTCAAAAATTTGCACAATAGTGAAGTTTTCTGTGTTTTTCTAAAGCATCGTAACTTTTATTTCACGAGTATCATTAAGGGTACTCCTATTGTTCTAGTGGGAATTAGCCCGGGAAAGTTCATCGTACCCAGTAAACTCGGGCTGAGCGTGCCTAAGTAATCAAAACTTATAGGAAATGTATATTCAAAGTTCAGACCTTAACACGCCACCAAATAAATGCCCAGTCAATCAGCTGGGTTCCAAACCGAGTCTAAATCAAACAAATTGCTTCGGGCTTACATGATCAGCTCTACAGTATTGAAGCCTTCACTGCAAAATTTAAAACTTTCATTTGGATGCATTAATTTACATTATGCTCCTTCAGTTGGAGAAATATACAGCAAACTCTGGCCAACGATAGTTCTTCCAATATCGATCCTATCAAATTAAACCTTACAAACAGCCTAACTTTGGCAAAAAGATGACACCGCAAGAATCAAAAACCTACTGGTGGAATAAAAAACACAAAAAAGGGCAATATGCAGCAGATTTGTTACTTAGCTTGAAACAGCCTCTGCCTTTGCCTCTGCTTCTGCTTCTAGAGTAGAAGCTGGGTAATCTTCATAACCAGTGATTCCTGTTATCTTAATACGAGTGATGGGCTGCATACAGAAGCCAAATTGTAAAATAATTACTAGAAAATGCTGATAACTGATGTTTTAGTCAAATAGGAAATAACTTTGATACCTGTCTATGACCAATATTTCGTCTGTAGTTCTTCTTCTTCTTATATTTGAAGACAATAACTTTGTCATCAAGCAACTGCAGGAACAACAGCACCAGTAATGTTGATGATTTCATGATTTTATTGGTGATTAATTGGTGGAAGCAGATAAAAGAAGACATTACGCTACCTGTTCTTCTACAACAGCATGTACTGCAGCATTTGTGACGATGGGCATTCCTATGTAGGTGCTAGATTTAGTTCCCACTAGCAAAACTTTGTTCAGAACAATCTGCAATATAGTGAACTTTAGCTTTAAGAAGCCTCTTCAATTAACAAATAAAAAAGTTGATAGTTGTTGATATTGGAGACTGGGAGGTTACCAGAGGTGCAATTCTTAGAGCACTAGTAAAAGAGACATGAGACAAAGCAGATTTTGATAGAGGCAAATACTTACGAACCAAGCGGGAAACACAATAAGTAACTCAAGGGAGCTTAAAACAACGTTATACAATAAAACAAACAATATAACACTAGCTATATGCTATGATTTCACTTGAGAAATGCACAAAAGAAAGAAACTATCCATTACTGTCACATCCGTACCATCACACTTTTAATGCTATCAGGTACTATAGAACATTGGAAGAGCTCTTGTTCATTTACCAACAAACATAATACAGAAAAAGGCAAAGGAAAGAGATTGAATTAAGTGGGACAGAGCTCACAGAAGATATAAATTTGGTTCAATTTTGTGTAGTGATTCCTATTTTCATAGGAAGTTAGGTGATTTGTTTGAGAGAAGATAGATTTAAGTAGTACATATAATGGGACAGAAGATTTGAACTCACTTACTCCATATATTTTAAGAGACTGACAACATATAATAACTGATAAGTGATACGCTCATAAAACCGTACTACTCCGACATAAAAGATTGAAAACAAAGTAACAATTAAGAAGAAACACCCTCAACACACTGTCATTAAAACAAAATGATAGAAGGATTAACAAATTGTTTGATTCAACCGATTTGAGCTTGCACTGCATTTCTCTTATTCAAAGAAAATAATTCTGTGTTGATCATCTATATTCCATGTTGGCTCATCAAATTTACAGGACATTGGCTCTGTAATTTGCAAATTTCAAATAATACTTTTTCATGGGTTTGGGGTTTTACAAGATTTCTGAGCCAATGCCCTGTATATTACATAAAGCACTGATAAGGAAGTCATGAGGCAAAGCAAATTCTCATAGGGACAGTAGTAAAGAAAGCAAGCAGGAAACACAATGAACAGCTCACGGGAGCTTAGAACAATGCTATATACAATTAGACAACCACATCCATGCCCTCACAATGAACATAACACTCTAGCTATACGATATGACTTTGCTTGAGAAATGCACACAATAAAGAAACTATCCATTATAACCACATCCATGTCCTCACACTTCTAATGCTATTAAATACTATAAAAAAAAATAAAAATTGGAAGAGCTCTTGTTCATATCCAAGCAAGAAACAGACAGACAGACAGCGGGAACAGCTTTGTTTGGTCTCCTTTTTTGTTTTCTATTCGGCCTTGAAAACAAAGATATAGCTTATCTTGCTAGTACATACAAAATTCTACAAAACACTACAGAATTATACAGAACAATATACTAGCTTGACTGCGTGTGTTGTACGAAATCAATTTTTAAGATCCTTTATACCTCAGACACAGTACAAGAACCTGCACCCAACTAATTTATCAGCCTCAGAGATACAAACAGCCTACTTATTCTCCACAAACACAAACCTAGAAAATAAAGGGACAATTGCAAAACTAAACATTATTATAACGAACCACTAAAATTTTTAGTTCCGTTTCTACTACCATAAATCACCATCACATGCTCCATCCATCAAACTTGTACACATGGATCCAGGAGTTTTCACAATTTGCAAACTCAGAAAATTTCACCAAAAGTCACATTTATTTCTGGTTCTTTTAGTAAGCTACACTATTTTACACAACAGCCTAGAAGAACACATCAATTCAAGCCACCAACAATTGCACTGTAGATTAATAAGTAATGGATGTCCTAGAGTAAACATTCCATTAAATAATAGTAATAAGAATAATCTGGAAAGGCGGTCTCAAAATCGATAGACACTCAAGCCAAAACCTCACCTTATCATTGACATTAGCACCTTTGAGTCTCTGGGTGTAAATCCATCGTCCAGGAATGACAATGTACTGCCTAGAACCAACCTAAATAAGAACAAAACATAACACATCCAAATTAATCACAGAAATGACAGTAATCTGATAATTTTGCTCATTTTTCCCCCAAAAAATAATAATAATCCACTGAATTTGCATATCAAATCAGTTACAATTTACCAATCTTTTACTCTAATTCAAAAAACCCAATTAATTTGCACCAAAAACAATCATAATTAACAAAATCAATGAACAAATACTTAATATCGAATTAATCACCAGGGCATTATATAAAATGATTAACAAAACACAACCAAAATCCCAGAATTAAAAAATTCAAAGAAAACCCACCACAACAACAGCAAAAATCTCTTCACGAGGAGGAGGAGGTTGTCTTTTGGGCAGATATTTCTCAAGAATTGCTTCGTATTCAGGAGAACCAGGCTCAGGAGGTTGAAAATCTTCAGGCAAAATATCAGAAAGTTGAGGTTTTTGATTAGGGGGTCTTTTGAATTCTTCAAATTCATCCCTCATTTTTTCATATTCATCCTTCAATTCTTCTGGGATTTCAGGCAATCTGCGTCTTTTGGCTGCAACAGTGAAAAGTGAGAGTTTTTGAGGAGAAAGAGAAAGGGGTGAAACGAAGCTTGAAAAGGGTTTAGAAAGAGGAACATTCAAAGAAAGTGGGTTTTGATTGGGTTTAAGAGTTGCGCATGAAAATGCCAAAGTTGCAGAGAAGGCAGACGCCATTGATGGTTCAACTCTATACTCTGTGAGAGAGAGAACTTCTATCCTTCGTCTTCCTTTCTTCTGGAATCGGGGGTTTATCACTCTATCCTATCCAGTTTGGCTCAAATGACAATTATAGCCCTTCGTGCAGTTTTTTTTTGGTTCAATTTGCGGATTTTTTTAAGAAAATTTGTCAAAAACTACTCTATAAAACAATATTTTTGAGAATAACTATCCTTACGAGTATTTTTTTTTTTTTTTATATCTATATATATAATAAATACTAAAATAGCAACCGCTGATATCATCCTATCCTATAATTGTACACATGTCAGGTTGTCAGTAATAATTTTCCCTCCAAAACTATATATGATATTACTCTCTCCGTGCATTAATTATATGTCTATTTCTTTCATTTATTACTCACATAATTGAGAGAAATAGGCATATAACTAGTATATTACCCGTGCAATTATATTAAATATTAAATCTCATAAAATCGAAACCAAAGTTAGCTTAATGCATAGTAGTGATATTTTTTTTACATAATATGATTATTCATTCACAATAATGTGTATTATGGTATTGCGTTTCATAATTTTATTTCAATGTTGAAGAAAAAAAATTTAAATTTTGAGAAAAAAGTTTATGTCCTTTACATATATTACCTTTTAGAACATAATGACTCGTGCCCATTCATATATCTCATATTTTACCCTTATGTGTACTTTTGATTTGATTAACTTAATAAACTACTCTCTCTCTCTTAATGTGGTCACAAAATTTTGAATCAGATACTTAAATTACCATTAAGATAAACTAAAGTTACCCTATTATAAATAAAAGTTACCGCGATATAACTTATAAGTAAAAGTTACCCATTTAATGGAGAGCTTATACATGTTTCTTATCTAATGGAGACTGTATAATTTACATTATAAAATTATACGTTAAGGGTTTTTTTTTTTTTTTTTTTTTTTGCCTTAGAAAAATATGTCCAATTACTCCCTCAGTCTAAAATCACGGACTTCATATATTATGCATGATAATAATTTTATCTAAAAGTTATTATCTTTTGTTAAATATAGTGTATACATTATATATAGTGTATATCTTCTAGTCAAAGCATAAGATTAGTTACCTCATAGTATTCTATTCATCAAGCCTAGTTTGAGGCTTGTATAATGTATATATGCTGACTTTTGGTAAAGTGAACACTGAAGGAAATATTCCCAAATTCTTTCATCTTTATATTTTTATTCATGCATATTACTACATGATATTTATTTTTGATAATTTTACTTGATATGATGACTTTTTCAGCAACTTTTGTGTGTGGTTGGCCCCTCAACAGATAACCCCTGACCGACCGAGTTACTCCTGACCAAATAACCCCTAATCGAGTAACCCCTGACCAAGTAAGCGTTGACCAATCGAGTAACCCCTGACCAAGTAACCCCTGACCTAGTAACCCCTAACCGACCGAGTAACTCTTGATCGAGTGAGTAACCCCTTACTGATCAAGTAACCCTTTACTGACCGAGTAACCCCTGATTGAGTGAGTAATCCCTGACTGACCGAGCAACCCCTGACCAAGTAACCCCGACCATTCTTACAAAAAAAAATGTGGTTGGCCACACCGTTTGTGATGATTTTTTTTATTTAAGATTAATAATGAAATATTATGTACATATATATGCAGTTAAATTTTTTAGACAAAAACTGTATCACATAAGAATATAAAATCAATAAAATTTATATTTTTTATGGCAAAAATATTACTATGTAATATAAATATGATATACGTTTCTTCTTACTCTAGTTCCACTAAGCATGGTAATAATTTTATCTAAAAGTTTCCATCTTTTGTGAAATATAGTGTATATTTTTTCATTTTTTAGACAAAAATTGTATCACATAAGATCAATAAATTTATATTTTGTTGTCAATAATATTATATAAGATCAGTTATTTTTATTTTACTATACAAATTGTGATATTTTTATTATATTATATTATAATACACTAATATTATACATAAAATATATAGGAAATAAAAGGTATTTAAGAAATTTAGTTAGCTAATTACTTTATTTTTAGTTTATTTCATAAAAATCTTACGTATAAAATTGTGAGTTTGTGACTAATACATTTTTGATATTTTGATTAAGATCATTTTGTTCACAAGTTTATTTTCATCATCGTTATTTCTGATAAATATTTGCATTTTATTGTAGGGCATGGCTGTGTAGGTTATAAATGTTGTACTTTGGAGGTTTGGAAAATAGCATGATAATTAACGAAAAATAACAATAGCTTGTCCATGTATAACTTTCCAATCAATTTTTTTTTTTATTATTATTAAATATGATATATATTTTTTTATTGAAAGTGAGGCAATATGCCAATACTAATTGATTCAGTATTTTTTGTAGTAGATTATTGTGCAAAAATGAGGCAAAAATGACATGAAAATAAACTAAAAATATAATGGCACAAATTTTTTTTAAGACCTTTTATTTCCTTATAATCTTACGCATAAAATTTTTTAGACAAAAATTATATCACTTAAGATTAATAAATTTAAATTTTGTTGGCAAAAGTATTATATAAGATCAATTATTTTGATTCTAATATAGGAATTGTGATTTTTTTATTATATTATATATGATTTGAATTTTATGCGTAAGATTTATATGAAATAAAAGGTCTAAAAAAAAATTTGGTGGAGCTAATTTCTTTATTTAGAATAACGGGAAAGGGCGGGAAATTTTTTAATGATGAGGCAACGCGTGGAGCTATTGTTTTGAGTGCCCTCTATTTTAGTATAGTTACTAGTAAAGAATCGTGCAATTGCACGGTTTTATAAAGTTTAAATATTTTATCACAATCCTCATTATCATATTTGCAATTCATTATTTAAATAAATACATAGAAACAAAGATATGAATATATACGTTCAATTTCATTTAACATATAATAATTTTAAATCAAAACTCTTAATAAAAATATAAGAAAAAAACTTCAATATTTTTTATTTTGACGACAGAGAAGCTTCAATATAATTACCTTGTGCAAATAATGATATCTTTTGAACCAAATACAACAAAAAAAAAAAAAAAATACATCTCTTGATAAAAGTATTCCCTCAATTCCAATTTGATAATCCCAATTTGACTTTGCACGGTCCTAGATGTACATTTGACCATCAATATCTTTAAATATATATATTAACAAAAATTATAAAAATTTGATGTATATCATTAAACTACACATTGATACGAACCCAACAATATATAAAATTTTAGGTTAGTATCCATACGACCATACGTTACACTCATACATTATTCGTCCTTATTTTCTTGACACAATTTGATTAGTACACTTTGTTTAAAAAAGTCAAAAAAATTTAATTGGTACACCATATTTTGCAAATTTGATTTTGTTATGAGTAACGGTTTTTTTTTTTAAAAAAAAAATAATAATTTATGAGTCGTATATTATGAAATATGATTGATGTAATAGCAATTGCTCTATTGTTTATACGTTAACATAAGCACTATATTATATTGAATTACAGAAGAAAAAACTTGTAAAAAAAGTAGGGAATAAAAATTGTATTTCTAACAAATTACAATCTTTTGCTTCAATAGCTAAGATAATGTATTTGTATTATTATTACAACAACTTTTGTGTGTGGCTGGCCACACGGTGTGGCCAGCTAACACACGAGTAAACCCTGACCAGGTAATCCTTGATCGATCAAGTAATCCCTGACCAAGTAACCCCTGATCGAGTAACCCCTGACCGATCGAGTTTTCCCTGACCAACCAAGTAACTTCTGACCGACCGAGTAACCCCTGACCGACCGAATAACCCCTGACTGACCGAATAACCCTTGATCGAGTGAGTGACCCTTGACCAAGTAAATAACCCCCGACAAAGATATTATTCTATGAAATATTGCAATAATAATTAAAAGATGTTTATATAAATTTCTTTATTTAGGAGTTTGTAAATGGGTGGGAAAATACTAATTGATAGAGTAACATGTGCCAATTTGATCTGTTTATGAGTTCTGCTTTCTTGATCTTGGATCCATTTTCTTGGACTTTGATCTTGCTGTATACTCATTAACAAGCCTCGAAAAAGACGAGGTAGGATTTTGTAGCAAACTTGAAGGTCTGTCACATTCTTCAACTGTTCCCTGGCTTAGAACGATCACTTGATCACTACTGATGACAGAAGTAATCCGATGTGCAACTATAATTAACGTTGAATCAGAGAAGTATTACCTTAGGGTCTGCTGGATGACATTATCTGTTGCAGTGTCCACAGAAGCAGTAGCTTCATCAAGCACCAACACTTTGCTTCTCTTAAGAAGTACGCGACCAAGACAAAACAATTGTCTTTGGCCAACACTCCAGTTCTCTCCATTCTCGCTTACTGATTCAGATACCAACAGATAAAACAATTAAGGGCAAAGTCAGTTTTTACATGAATGGAAATTAAGTAAAAATAAAAAAACAACATATACCGGCTGAATCAAGCTTCGATTCCCTGTTTCTAACTTCATCTCCCAGCTGGCACTTATCAAGAGCCTAAGACAAAGAAAACATCGTGTTGGCTAAGAAAAAATACAGTTTGAATGAGCATAAGTAGGCTAACAGAAATATAGGTTACCTCCCAAATCTGCTCATCAGTATACTCTTCTAGTGGGTCTAAGTTGCTTCGAAGAGTCCCTTGAAACATGGTCGGGTCTTGGGGAATTATGCTTATTCTAGACCGTAGATCATGCAGTCCAATGGAAGAAATGTCGATTCCATCAATAGTTATCTGCCCAGCTGCAGGTTCTACAATGCGGAAGAGAGCCTGGATCAAGGTTGATTTGCCAGAATCTGTTCTGCCTACAATCCCAGTTGTCTTTCCTCCTTGGAAGATGCATGTTATTCCTCGCAGTACCAAGTGGTAATTGTGGAGCATAACGAACCTGGTATGAATTATTACATTTACCAAATTACCATATGTCAATGTGTATATGTCTATCATTGTGTAGGGATAAGCAGAGGGAGACGCTGCATGTACCTGAAGATCTTGAACATGAACCAGTCCACAAGATGGCCATGATTTGTCTGGCCTATTATTTTCTAGCACGAGGGAAGCCTCACTTGTAATACTTGTATGCTGAAGGATTCTCTCAACTGAGATGATCTTATTCTCCATTACAGAAAAATTTGATATTACCCGGCTTTGTAGCTCATTCAGATTGAGCGCGTATGCTACAGCTAACCCAGCAATGACTTGAATCAGAAGAAGAAAACCAACAATAGAAAACAGTAAGTCAGAATTGTTGTAAATGTACACATAATGTTAGATACAAGAACAGTAACAACAACAATGATGCAAAGAATCTATCAGTAAGACGGCTTACCTGGATCAACTAATTCCACAGGAATGGAGATCAAGAAAATCAGAGTGAAGGCAAAAATAAGTGAAGACAACATGTCAAGGCGGAAGTTAATCCATTGGGTTGAAGCATTGCTGTAAAAAGTAGGCCTCGTAGACCCATTTATTAGCCGTGTGCTCGTTTCACAACATCTAGACTCTTGACCAAAGCTCCTGATAACAGAAACTCTCAGATATACTCTCCGAGAAATGTTGTATAACTGGAGCTTTATTTACTCCAACCAACCGAAAAGGTTCTCGTGCTGAAGTTATGTAGTATTTGAGAAGATTTAGAGCCTAAATTAAATTATGCAAGAATTTTGATCATCTAATGGTTCAAGTCGTTGCATATATCTACCTGATAGTCTGATACCACAGAGAGACAGCAATAACTGGAATGAAAATCATGTAAACCTGCCATACAACCGGTGACATTACTCCAATAACCCCTAAAAGACTAATAACAGAGAACGCGAAACCACCAACTCTATTTGGGACAGTCATATCCACATCGCTTTGATCTGTAGACACCTGAAACAAGTAGTATTACATGATTAATCTGAATAAATGATTTCATATTATATCACTCTAAATAAAACTAAGGTAAATCATCACTATGTATCATCCTCGAACCATTTTTATGAAAGGATAAATGAAGCAAGGTTTGTATGAGACTATGTATCATACCCTGCTTAAGATCCGTCCACTAGGGGTTGCATCAAAAAATGATATTGGAGCCCGAAAAATCGAGGACAGCATCTTGTAGAAGAGCGAAGATGCTGCCTTGTACCCAGCTATCAGAAGAAGCCATGATCTCACCAGAATGGATAAGGAACTTCCAACTGACAAAGCAACATACACAGTCAGTAAAGTTTTCCCTTGTACAACATGTTTGGCATCGTATAAAACTGGAGTTGCCCAAGCTATCCAATAATTGCTTGAGCTTTGAAGAATCTGAAAAAGAATCTGAGACACTAATATGAAGGGCACTAAACTTCCCCTGTATGCTGCTGTGATATACTTCCAATACAAGAGGATTTTAACTTTTCCTTTCTCTCTTTCTTCTTCTTGCACGAGTTGTCCTTTCGGCCTCATGTCTTCATTATCAGCTTCACCATCATCATCAGTCACCTCCTTCGATGCTTCTTCATCAGTCCTAGCTATGTCTGTTGAAGTCCCGATTGAATCAAATGAGGATAAGGCTTCTTCATGAGCTACCACAAGCTCCCTCAGATCAGTGCCCGAATTTAAAATATCCTCGTACTTTCCAGCTTGCTGTATACTTCCTTCTTTCATGACCTAAAATAAGATAAAGCATTCATTAGGACATCCATGAATTTGTTCATTCAATTTTCAAGAATTTAATCTTCAAAACTCACCAGAATCAGATTAGCTGCACGTAAGAACTCTACTTGGTGGGTGACATATATCATTGTTTTGGATTCTAAGAGCTCTAGAATGCAATCCTGTACCAAAGAAGGTGAAAAGAATAAAATATAACTTTATAGTGCTAGTTTGCTGTTTGCTGTTAACATATGAATAACTAAAAGTTCACTGCTAGTTTGATGTTATAATTACTTGTATGAAATAAAATTCTAACCTTGAAGAGATGAGTTCCAGTGTGAGCATCAACTGCACTAAAAGGATCATCTAAAAGATAAATGTCAGCATCATGGTATACCGCTCGAGCAATTTGTATCCTTTGCTTCTGTCCACCACTTAAATTTATACCTCGCTCACCAATGATTGTTTGATCTCCAAAGGGCAAGACCTCGAGATCTTTTCTCAAAGAGCATGCCTCTAGGACCCTGTTGTATTTCTCTACATGCATTCCCTTTCCAAACAAGATATTATCGGCTATACTTCCACTTTGTATCCAAGCGGTTTGAGGAACATAAGCAGTAGACCCCCCTAAGCTTAATACACCAGAGACTTTTGGCACTTCTCCAAGTATGCACGAGAGCAAGGTTGATTTACCAGAACCAACTGTACCACAGATTGCTACCCTCATTCCTCGCTCAACTTTAATGTTGATATCTTTCAATGTAGGGTGTGGAGCTAAGTCATCCCAGGTAAAGTTTCCTCCTCTAATTTCAATGACTACCTCACTATTTATCCTAGATGCTGCAGGAAGCTTCACCACATCATCTGGACTCAACTCATCAAGGGAGAGGAAGGAAGCAAATCTCGAAAGAGAAACTCTTATTTGTGTTATTGTAGATATTAAGTGGGGTAGGTTTATGATGGCACTTTGAAGAATTTTGAATGTTGCAATAGCAGATAATACCTTCCCAGATTCTAGAGGGACACCAATGAGTAAGCATGTGCTGAAAGTAACCAAAGACACGAATGTTGGGGCGATCCAGAATACACAAGTTGTTACTGCCACACAAGTAGCAGTTTTCTTCAACCATTCATTCTCCACATCTCTTAAGCCAAAGATTTTGTTCAAGAATTTCATATCCCAAGCTTGAAGCTTCAGAATTCTCATGTTCCTTAGTATCTCAGCTGTAACCTGCATTCTTTTGTCTTTGGATTGCATTAAATTCTTATAATTCTTATCAAACAACTTTGACACAGGATAGTAAGCCAGCATCACAAACACAGTTGAAACAAATGCCGCGATTGAGGCAAGCCCAAGAGTTGCATACAAGATTGACAAGGCTAATACAAGCTGCAGGACGATCACCCATGGATCGTGCAAGTAGGCACCAAAGTGCGCAACTCTTTCTGCATCAACTGACATGACATTGATCAGCTCACCCGTTGTACTTCTTCCTTAGATGTGCAGGGGAGGGTTAAGGCCTTAGTATAGATGCTCTGAATAAGGGCAGCTCTTGTTTTGAGCATAATTATCGCAACCCTAAACTTTGAATGCTTCTCCGAGACACATGCCACAAGCTTTGCAACCATGAATGCAGAAACCAGAACATACCCGGTTCTAGCTGTCGACCACACCTTCACCCCATTTAGGTACTGAACAAAGGAGTCAATGAGGTAAGGCCCAACATAGATGGCCAATGTGTTAACCAAATTAAGAACAAATGTCCACAATATGTTAGGCCATGACATTATGATCATAGACTTAAAAAGCTGCATACTAGTAACCTTGCCATTAGCATGCTCGAAAGACTTACTAAACATTACAAACAATTCACTAGCATCGTTATCACGAGGAAGAGGAGGAACATCATCAAGGTCTAGACTAGTTTTATGATTACCCTTTGATATTAAGGAGCCTACCCAATAAAAGGTGGCCTTGCTGAAGAATCCGGCTTTCGAATAAGGACTAATTATCACCTGATGGCTGGTCTGGCCATCTACTTCTGAAGCTAAAAGGGATTCCTGCAGTTCACCCTCATCACCCACTGCCTTCACAGAAGCAGAATTCCACCGGAAGAAACCGAAAACGGAAAAGAAAATGAAAACAATTCCTAGCACAACATACAGGATATTCATATCAAAATTCCATATATTGAAATTATGGAAGCCCAACAATTTCATAGCTGATGTTTTTTTTTTCTACCAGTGTTTTAGATGTAACTGGTTAAAGAATTGAAGAGGAGAACTTCTGATTTTTTTTTTTTTCAAAAAAAAAGCATATGAAATTGTAAAGGAAAGATTTTTTTGGTGAAATATTATGAGGCTTTAAATAAGGATGATTTTCCACTATGGCATTATGCTAATTAATCTGCCCATTAACAGCCTTAAATTCACTATTGCTGAGATTTCTGACTTCCTGAAAATATAGACAAATTTATAAATCTTAATTGATATTATATATGATACCAAGTATAATTTCATCCAGATCCTAAGATATTTTATGATCATCATTCTCTATTATATCTTAAACATTGATAAATGCTTCGTGTATGTACAAGATAAAGTGATTAAATTTGAAGGTAAAAGATATACGTCGTGCAATGTGCATTATAACATAATTATAAGCTGAGAAGCATCATAATTCAAAACATAATTGCAACAATAAACGAACCTTTGAAACTGGCCTGACTTTGAAAAGGCCCTAACAAGGACTACTACGTAGTACCAGAGACCAATGTCTTTTAGTTTAGGCATTTTTACAAACACTTGGTGTGCTTAAATCTTTTTTCTTTGATGGATTACGAACTTAGGATGTGAATTGCCTTAAGAACTGTGATATGGACCGCATTCAAGTTACCAAAAGAAATGTTCATCTTATTGATGCACAATTTATGTTTATCTAATGGTATTTTGGTGACTATTGGCGTGGAAAATGTGCAACACAAAATATTATACGGAGTACTATTTTCTTCTACTTTATGCTTTCTAGCGATGAGCTACCCGTCACTAATAGCAATGTCACAAATGAGCAAAATTTTGATCATGAGTAAAAAAAGTCAAAAAATAATTAGTTACAGTACCTTACATCAATGAGCAACGTAAGAAGAATTAATGCTCATGAGAAAATGGGAAAATGCTCAAAGTTTGAGCAAAAATGTAGATGAATACTCCTTAATGAAGTGAGCTCCGCATCATCAGCTTTAATTTTTTTTATATGTGTTTTTTTCCAGTAAGATATGGGGTGCCCCCTCCTATCACGGGAAGGGTGGGGGTGAAGATCGAACCCCGGTCACACCAAGGGGAGTGGAGGTATGGTTCTCCTTGATCCTCTATTTTTTTGGGAAAGTTTAAGACCGTCCTTAGGCATTAAATAAAAAAGAAAAATAAATTGTAGCCTGATGATAACTCAGTAAATAACTTAAATATTATTCTTATACAAGTTAAACAAAGTTGTGTCCACTACTCCACACATTCATCTGAGGTAAATGGAAGTTTTCCCATATTCAAAATCTCAAAAAACTGGATTTCATCAAATCCAATCTATGTAAAGCAACATATAAGTGAAGGTTCAACAGATCAGCAGCTTCATTATTGCCAGTCACTATCCTTCAGAGCTATACAGTACAGCAGACAAAATATTTAGCTAGAATCTGAAGTGGAGTCTTTTACTCCCAATGCCTCAGCTGGGTTTACTCCCAATGCCTCAGCCGGATTTACTTTCAATGCCTCGGCTGGGGTTACTCCCAATGCCTCAGCCAGGTTGAAATTCAAATTTCCCCTCATGGTTCTTCCACCGTCTCCTGAGTCACCTTTCTTCATCATCGCAGCAAACTCCCCAAAATCAATGCGGCCATCCTGTCAATTTTAAACAGTGATACTGTCAGCAGAGATCTCACACCAGAAAATTCATATATGCATTGATAATGCACATCCCTAAGATGAGGATGAGTCTGACTTCCTGAAAGATGTAGCAAGTGAGAGTCTGAGAGTACATGGGAGATGCTCAACAGATCTCAATGATTTATAAAGTCTTGATAGGGGAAATGTCGAGATGTAGAAAGGAAGGGAAGGCCTTTTTGAGATATATGGAGGCAAAATTTGCACTATTCAAATCACTGATGTTAACTCTATTGTTATTTACACTGCTTAAGCTAATTTCAAGGTAGAAGGGACACAACTACAAGATACTAACACAAAAGTTTCATCTTACTCAATTCAGTTAGAAAGTGTAACGACATGGTAACTCAAGCCATATCATTCATGAATTAGCAAGAGTAGACATCTGACCATAACAATCAGTAAAAAGATATCAGTCACCAACATCTCATACAATTTTAGCTAGAAGCAAGTGAATTTCTGATTCCCGTGAAAACTTGCTTTGCACTTTGCACTGACCAGGTCAATAATGTCAATTCTACTCCTTCACAACAATGATTTCTAGAAGCACTCGACTAATAAATAGGCCAAAGCCAAATCAAGGGGTGGAAACTTTAAATAACAGCATGAAGAAAATATAGAAAAAACAACAGATGAAGTCATATTAACAGTTGAATGTTAAAGCTATCAGGATCTGTGAAATATACGGTGCTCTACATGCAGAGCTGATGCACCAGTTTCTCTGGATCAAAGAAGACTCAGAAAATTGCTTATATCTTCATCTGAATATATACATTCAATCTTAATGGTCAAACCTCACCAACATTTTCCATATATTTCTTAAAATTTACAATTACAATGTGTAGATCTTCCAAAAATTTTATCGAGAAGTAACTTCATCCATTTTCATTCCACGGATTTATTGCAAGACAATGGTAATATTAAAAGGTCAATGAAGAGGAAGCTTGATTACAAAAGTCTAAAAGTGTCCAGCTATTAGGTTGAACCAGGACTGCTTTTACTGTGTCAGTTTTAAGCATGGCTACTATTTCTAGAATGCCACAATTCACCAATAGTTCATATATCTAAAAAAATAAAATAAAAAACAGAGAGACTACTATTGATCTCATATATCAGGAAAAAAAATTAAAAAAAAAATGCTTGAAGACTGTATGACTATCTATATACATGTCACACAATTAAAAGATTTAACATTGGTCAGATAATCCAAGGACATAGAAATTCTTCGATCATCGGAAAGAAAAACAAAGGAGAGAGAAAAGCAAAAAAAAAAAACTCACGTTATCCAGGTCAATTTCCTTGATTGTTTCATCCAGATGACCATCACCTAGACCAAACTCTTTGCAGGCCTGTTGAAGCTCGTCAATTGTTATGTAGCCACTACCATCTTTATCAAAATATTTAAAAGCTGCTATCAAGTTTTCCTCCCTCTCCATCTTGTTCACATGAAGGGTAGCAGCAAGAAATTCACCATAGTCAATGGTTCCATTGTTATCGATATCAGCCTGACAATCAATCATAAGGTAAGACATCAGAAGAACACAAAAAGAGATTTCAAGCCTTCAAACATCAATTTTCCTTGGACATGTAAGACTTACAGCATCCATAAGAGCTTTGATGTCCGACTCCATCATTTCCGAACCCACTTTCTTCAGCCCAACTTTCAATTCTTCAAATGTTATGGTTCCACTGTTATCTGTGTCAATCATCTTAAACAACTCTCTTAAACCACCAATTTCTTCTTCTGAAAGACTTTCTGCTATTACCTGCAGGAAGTTTTGGACATAAAGTTGATGCAATAATAAACATACAGGCTGTAAAAAGGAGCTTGCTCTTTGCCATGCAAGAACAGAACTGCAAATCCACTTTTAAAATCACATTGTTTCCCGAATTGCTTTTGGTATACAGAATGTTTACAAGACAGGATAAAATGTTATCAGATGAAGATATCACATTTGGAAATCAGAAAATCTGTTATGTTAATTGATTTCTCTCTTGATAACGTTAATTTACATATTGCAGTCAAATGCCCAATAATATCAAGAAATAACAATACAGAACATGTGGGACAATCTGATTCTTGTGAGAGATGGACAAACAAGAAGATAATCACCTCCGTATTTAACAAACACATGACTCTATAACTAAAAGTGATAGTAACATACACGTAATGCCATCTTTTTAACTTTGTTCATAGCTGAAAAATGCTTCAAACGTGATAAAACAGCGGAGTCCAAAGGTTTATCAGGTGCAACAGTGTCATCCACAATCCATGGGTGACCTGCAGGCAAAAATACCAATTTGGGGAAGAAAGTTAGGAACAAAATTCTCAAGCAGTTAAGACATTATTTTGTCATCATTATTTTCAGATATATGACTCACATAAAGCTTCATAAGCTGTTATTCGCCTCCTTGGATCCCTCTCAAGCATTTTACGAATCAGATCCTTTGCACTGTCTGAAATATTTGGCCATGGTTCAGACTCAAAGTCTAACTTCCCATGGAGAATCTGTCTGAAGATTCCCGACTCAGTTTCTGCAAAGGAGGTTGATAAAAAAATTAATTATGAGCTTCTCAGAGATGAAGAAATGACATACTATAGCTTAAACTGTAAAGATATTAAGTAGAGAATTTACCAGCCCAAAATGGTGGAACTCCACTTAATAAAATGTAGAGAATGACACCAGCACTCCAAACATCTATTTCAGGTCCATAACGCTTGCACAATACCTCAGGTGCAACATAGTAGGGGCTCCCAACTACGTCGCTAAAATATTGTCCTGCAAATTAGAAAACAGGTAAAGTTCAAACGTTAAACCCAAGTATTGGTGGGATTGTCAAGAATGTCAACATACTTAGGTTGGTAGGAATTGATCTTTAAGGTACTTTGTAAATTGTATACCACTAGCCACCTTTACAAACAAAAAGACTTATTAATTGTGCAGTTATTGCTCCCTAAACTCCTTTGTCCAAATTTTAAAGTGCTACTTACAAAGTTACAAAGAACTTCTTACAAAGAATTTGCATTTGGTATTTATTCATACAATTGAAAATGGTGCCACATTATAGCCTTAATCACTAACAAAAGGGAAGGGCATGAAAATATAATATACAACTAGATTCTGTGCTATATATGATGACATTTTTAAGATACCCATCATTGAGACACCTATTTTAAGAAAGTAAATTACATAGCACTCAGGTTCATTCAGATATGCAACATTCAAAAGGCAAACACTTATGTCAAAAAGTGAACATTACATCACAATTCATACCAAAGCAAAACAAAATCAAAATCATCATCATTCACCTCAAATTTACTAATAAAGCAAAATAAAGCAAGATCACATAATTCAGACCCACAATATCAATAACTCAAATCATAAAGCGATCAACCCCAATGAAAACGAAAACGAAACCCAAAAAATCAGAAGACTAACCAGGCTTATAAAAGACCGAAAGACCAAAATCAGTAGCCTTAAGCTTAGCATCCTCAGAAGGTGTATCAAAGAGGAAATTCTCAGGCTTAAGATCTCTATGCATAACACCAAGAGAATGACAAGCCTGAACAACCCCAACAATAGTTTTAATCAATTCAACAGCTTGTTTTTCACTATATTGACCTTTTGCAACAATCCTATCAAACAATTCTCCACCTGCACATAATTCCATAACCAAATGCACAAAAACTGAATCTTCATAAGTCCCTTTAATTCTAACCACATTTGGGTGTTCTGATAAATGGTGCATTATCTGAATCTCTCTCCAAACATCTTCATAATCTTCCTTACATAAAAGTTTTCTTTTTGGAATTGATTTACAAGCGTAAAGATTTCCGCTTGATTTCTCTGTACATGAATATGTCGTACCAAATTGACCTTGACCCAATTTTTTTCCGATCAAATAATGGTCCCTTAATCTCGGGGTTTGATACGGTAATACCGACGATGTCGGTTTCGTCGCCGATGTTGTAATCAGCTTTCTTACCGGCGCTCCCGGTGACCCACCACCACCTTGCTTATTTTCCGACATTCTCTCTCCTCAAAAGGGTGTCACTTCAAGCCAAGAAGACTTAAAATTTCTGGGTTTTGTTTGTTTTTCTCCCTCCTCAAATGGGTGTAGATCAATTCCTGAAATTCAAAGAATTTAGACAAGTCTTTTTCTGGGGTTAATTTCTTTGGGATCTGTGAAAAAAAAAAAAAAAAAACAGGGTATTGGTATTCCTTAATTTTTCAATAAAATGACGCTAAATTAAGGTATGAAAGAATCATGGATAGATCGATCATTCTTTCTCTCTCCTAAAATTATAAAAATAAAGACTTTATTATAAAAATGGAATAAGGAAAGAATCGGTGGTGCATCTTTGATGGCTGTGTAAGATCGTGGGTGATTGGTTGGAGACCACTAAATATCCAAATCATCGTGATTTCGTGAAATCGACGGTGGGAATAAACACTGTCTTTTTCTTTAATTTACTGCTAATGTTCCATAATTTTTACTGTCAAATAATTTCATTTGGCAAGTTTAATCAAAATCCAAAAAAATAAAAAAATCATATGGCAAGTTGCAGGTTAAACCACGAGGGAAATTGCAGTGAAATGCTGATAATAATACAGAAATTCCGACAATTTACACTGCTGCTATCTTGTCGTTGATTTAATACTGTACTCTAGCTTTTGTACTTTTTGTTCAGTAATTACACAAGTATTTCTGTCGTTAATTAATACAGTAATCATCTTTGTCTTTTTTTGATGCAAGTAATCATCTTTGTCTTTAATTAATACAGTATTGGCATTTAATTTATCTTGTCCTAAAAACATGTTGTGTAAACAGAGTATATGCCATTAATTAATTGATTGTATTCTATGGGGTATAAAATCAAAATTAAGATCTTGATTTCTCCATATTAGTACATTACATGTGTCATGTGGGATTGTTATTTTTTTAATTGAAAAATTAAATAAAATTAGGCTAGTTTTTACAAAAAAAATTCCAACGATTTAACTCATGCTTATTTCTTACAAATGATTAGAGAGGTATTGTTAGAATATATGGCAATATATTCTAGTTTGACTTTGTATATAACTAATTTGGTTAATGTATATCTTCTAGCCTAATTTATAGCCTAGTTCATAGCCTAATTTGTAGCTAGTCAATACGGAAGATTATCTCTTGTAAATTTGTATATTTATACTCATAAGATAATCAATGGAAGGCAACGATCATATTACTTTCATGGTATCAGATTAGGGTTTCGATCCTATCATCCTCTATCCCATCATCTCCTTCCTCAATTTCTCATTTCTTCCGCTGCTTATCCTCCATGGCTGAAACTCCAAAATATCATCCTTCTGTCGCACCTCCGCATGTGGGCTCGCCAATGTCAGCCCGGCATACCCCTATTCTCCTACCTCCCTTGTTTGACAGCCCACTCCTCACTTCTTCCAGATATGAGGATCCCTCCTCCTCATTGCCCACCAGCAGCCCTTTCTCCCCCACCCACACTTTAAGTCAGCCGACTATCCCCACCTATCCCATGACCACCTGAGCCAAAGATGGTATCTCAAAACCTAACCCAAAATATTTTTCCAACCTAAACACGATGACCACTACAACTATATCTCCTATCCCCAAGGACCCGGTTAGTGCTATTCGTGACCCTAATTGGAAAAATGCAATGTGTGAAGAATTTAATGCTCTAATTGCTAATCATACATGGGATTTGGTTCCTCGACCTCCTAATGTGAATGTCATTCGTTCTATGTGGATATTTCGTCATAAACGAAATTTTGATGGTTCTTTTGAGCGGTATAAGGCTCGTCTTGTAGGTGATGGCAAGACTCAGCAGCAGGGTATTGACTGTGATGAGACTTTTAGTCCAGTTGTCAAACTGGCGACTATTCGTACCGTTCTTTCCATTGCCACTTCACACTCTTGGCCGATCCATCAGCTGGATGTCAAGAATGCTTTTCTGCATGGTTATCTCAATGAAACAGTGTATATGCATCAGCCCATGGGTTTTCGAGACAAAGATCGCCCTGATCATGTTTGTCTACTGCAAATCTCTTTATGGTCTAAAACAGGCTCCTCGAGCCTAGTATCAGCGATTTGCAGATTTTGTAGTCTCTATTGGATTTGCTAACAGTAAATCTGATAACTCTCTATTTATTTACAGACAGGGGACTGATACTGCTTATATTCTGTTATATGTTGATGATATCATTCTTACTTCATCACCTGCCCAACTCCGGATTCACATCATGGACCTTCTGAGCTCCGAATTCGCAATGAAGGACCTAGGTCCTTTGAGTTTCTTTCTGGGTGTTGCTGTTACTCGTGATGCTAATGGTTTGTTCCTGTCTCAGAAAAAGTATGTTATTTCCATTATTGAAAAGGCAGGCATGTCGAACTATAGTCCGTGTCCAACTCCTGTGGACACGAAATCCAAACTTAGTGCTTCTCATGATGCTCCGTATGAGGATCCCACTAAGTACAGGAGTCTTGCTAGTGCTCTTCAGTATCTAACCTTTACTAGACCTAACATTTCTTATGCAGTACAGCAAATATGTCTCCATATGCATGCACCGTGCAATGCGCACATGGGAGCCTTGAAGCGTATCATACGCTACTTACAGGGTACTTTGTCTTTTGGTTTGCATCTGTATAAATCCTCTGTCAACAAACTTGTTGCTTATACTGATGCGGACTGGGGGGGATGCCCCGACACCAGGCGGTTTACTTCAAGCTATTGTGTATTTTTAGGGGATAATTTGATTTCCTGGTCCTCTAAACGGCAGCCTACATTATCTAAGTCCAGTCCTGAGGCCGAATATCGTGGGGTTGCTAATGTGGTATCTGATTCTTGTTGGATCAGGAATTTGTTGCTCGAGCTCTATTTTCCTATTCAAAAAGCAACTATTGTTTATTGTGATAATGTGAGTGCCATCTACCTCTCTGGAAAAATCCGGTGCAACATCAACGCACAAAACACATTGAGATGGACATTCTTTTTGTTCGTGAGAAAGTCGCTAAAGGCGAGGTACGGGTATTACATGTTCCTTCTCGTTATCAGATTGCAGATATCTTTACGAAGGGCCTTCCACGGGTTTTGTTTGATGACTTCCGTGCCAGTCTTAGCGTTCGTGATGCTCCCGCTTCAACTGCGGGGGAGTGTTAGAATATATGGCAATATATTCTAGTTTGACTTTGTATATAACTAATTTGGTTAATGTATATCTTCTAGCCTAATTTATAGCCTAGTTCATAGTATAATTTGTAGCTAGTCAATACGGAAGATTATCTCTTGTAAATTTGTATATTTATACTCATAAGATAATCAATGGAAGGCAACAATCATATTACTTTAAGGTATAATCACTACTCGTACAAGATGTGAGCCAATATAGAAGGGGAGGATGTTTTGGATTGACCAATGTACTTGTCATTGTTGTTATACTTGTTGATGGTTTTGAACTTTTGATGTCGGTGAGGTTTGCCATAATGCTCTTTATGCATTCTAGTAATGACAAATGTGGCCCAACTCTCGTGAATAAATGAAACTACCAAAGCGCCCCCAGCACCCAAACTCTAAAGTTGACTTTTAGGAGTTGATCGGGGCTCAAATTCCAGGACACCCTAATCCGTGGACATGATAAGTGTTGGCTCAACTTATATGGAAGAGATATAATATTAATATGTAGTGTTTGTCAAGAAAATGAAAATCGAAAGGAGTACAAAGAACATTTTGTGATAACTTTAAAAAATCCCCCAATGATAAATATGAAGTCAATATCTTAGCTTGTTGGTCACTATATACAAGTATAGCTTATAATTTCCTTAAAAAAAAAAGTATAGCTAATAGAATAGACCTAATCAATATTAGCCTGCCAAGTCGAGCTTAAAATTTACCCTATTTATCCAGTTAGTTATTCAAATAATTGATGGAGTAGTATGATGATCAAGTAGTGTAGAGAGGAAGGGGATATGGCAACTAATTTTTAATTTAATGGTAAATAAAATATTTTCGTCAAAATCAACTCAATGAATGATACTCCGTATTTGATTTAATTCTAACAAATGTACAACCATAATTTAAAAATTACATTGAATACATAATTCATGTATCATTGTATCCATAGTAAAATTGTCCACTAACACAATTATACAACCAATATGATTAACTTTTTTCTTGTCAAAACAATAATTATAATTACTTTTAAATGCAATTAGCGACGGAGTCTGTAATATTTAAGGGGTCGTTTGGTTCACTAACCTGGAATGGATTGGTATGGATTCTCATACTTGGGTGGCATGAATTCTATGTCTCATACCAATCTAAAGTTGTTTGGTTTAACCATGGAATGAATTCTCATACTTGAGTGGCAGTATGGATTATGAATCCTTAAGGGGAGGTGGATATGAGATTCCAATGGAATGGGGTGGAGTTAGAATCCTCTAAATATGAGATTCCATACTTAAATAGTCTAACCAAACAAATAAATTCATAAAATGAATTCTAACCTATTCCAAGAAGTTCAACCAAACAACCCTAAGTAATCTTTCTTTTCAAAACTGAAAAAAAGAAAAAAAAAAAAAAAAATCTAAATAATCATGTTAATTTGTCAAACAAGGTCAATAAGTCAACAAACTCACAATAACAATAAGTTCACTGTATAATATCCCCTCTAAAATTTCTCTCTGCTTTCAATTTCCCCTTCGGAAACCTAACAATTCCGATCAAAACCCTAACCCTAGCCTCAGAAGATGTTTCCGATTTCTCCTATTAGTCTAAATTCACTCTCTGATTACGTAAATCATCGATCAAATCTTCAAATTGGGGCAAGAATTAGTTCAAATTGTCTTTGAGACCGGTATGTTAGGGTTTCATCGGAGCTAATTCTCTCTCCTCCAAATCGCTCAACTCCAGTAAACATTATGGGGAACTTCTACTGTCAACACCACCATCAAAGCCCGGAACGACAACTCATCTGGTAAATGTTACTGTAATTTGCTACTTATGTTGTGGAATTATCATCTATTTTTTGTGTATAATTTGTTAGTTGATTTATTGTTCTAGATATGTATGTTAAATTTTGTGTGATGTAATTTTTCAGATAATTGAGTTAATTTTGATTGGTTTTGAATTTTGTTAGAAATTTGTATGGTTTCAATTTTCAATTTTTTTTTTTTTTTTTTTTTTTTTTTTTTTTTGGTGGAAATAAGGTGACCTGAAATTTTTTCCTGAGTTGATGTTGTTATAGTTTAAGGTTTTCATCCTCTAATGTGCATGGTGTTTACTGTTTACGCATTCAGGAATAGAAAGAGATTAGGAATTGGTTGGAAGACTATTCACTTGTTTCTGTTTTGGAGTTTATTTCTCTTTTAAAAGGATTTTTTTTTTTTTTTTTTTTTTTGTGATGTTAGTGTCAAAGTCATTTTAGTAAGTTAGTATCTGTTTTGATGCTTAGTATTAATATACTCAGTATGTATTGCAAAATGCTGGTGTCAAGGTTAGGTTTGTTCTTATCGATGTTTTCTTTTTGAGATGGATGTGAGCTACTTCATGATTTATACGAAGTGTATTTTATATAGTGTGATTGACAAGGGGTGTTGATTTTAAGGATGGAATACACTTTCAAACTAATACTCGTAGTGTGATATGGTGTAACATTACTTGGTGTCTTATTTTAGCATGTTATGCTAGATATGGGTTAGGACTCAGGAGGAAGTATTGAGTTGTGTATTATAGTAAGAATATTTGATAATTTTTCCTGATTCGGTTTTTTATTTTATTTTATTAAGTTACCTTCTGTTGCAATTTCATCCTGTTTAAAATAACATGTTAGACACGGATAACTATATATGGCTGTAGGTTTTATCCCTCTCTTGTGGATTGTGTTTTGGTATGTAGGACTAAAATTGGATTATGAATTGATTGGATGATTTTTGAATTGTATGGGATGTGGAGTTTATTTTTTTCTCGAGGAATTTTGTACTATTTACATTTCTTTGGGGTGTGTATTACTGCTGAGTGCTTGCGACTTTTTTCTGGCAAAGTGCTATTATTGAGGTTATGGAGAGGTCTTCTTGAGTTGGGAAGTATTGAGTTGTATTCTCATAATCTTATTTCAGCAAATCTTCTAGGTTTTGAGGGAGGGTTTTGGAGTGATTCAGTATATTTTCAGTTTATATTCTCTCAATGGGGTGAAGGAATTTGAATTGACATAAAGCATGAGATATTGATTGTTCATTGTTGGTTTGGAAGTGACTATATTCTAAGATATAAGGTCAAGTTAATGCTATTCCCGTGAGATAATTGTGGAATTACTTGTTGTCTAATTGCTGGGATGATTTTCAGAGGAGTTATGCCTTTTTTTCTTTAGGGATGTTGATTTATGTTGTTTAGGTTTTTAGGAAAATGAGATCGGTTGTAAAGTTCTGAAACAGTGAACTAATGTTGGCACAAGGTTTTACCCCTCACAGTGGTAGCTACAAAATTTATCAATACAGTTAGCTGTATGTGCAATGCAGTTCAAAGTGGTATCCTTTGGTTGCTATGTTTTAGCTAAAATGTGCATGTTGTTAGTTAGGGTAGTTTTATTGCTTACATCAGTTATTTTAGTTTGTGCCGAGTTTGTATTCTTATTACAAAATAACCTAATATGCTGTTTTCTCCTTCAAAAACCAATTAAAGCCTATTAGCTCAATTGGTAGAGCTATGTGCAATTTGCACTATGATGTAGGTTCAACTCCTACATAGGCTATGGAATTATGAATCTTAGTTAGCTGCATTATCTGCCCATAGAATGAAGCTTAAAAGAAACATTTATTTATACTATTACAATAACAACTAAAAACTACCATTGTTTTTTTAATGAATATATGTGTTCAGTTCAAAAGATTGTTGTTCACGCTAAAATTGTTAGAAAAACAACCAAGAAGCAAAATGGAGTTTCTAATATACAGAGAACATGGATTTTATTTATATATCTATTTTTTATTTTTATATTAAACAGGGAATCATAGAAAGAAAACACCCTGATTGAATCACTTTTGTTTCATAAATTGGTCAATAGTTCCTTTTCTGAAATCTCTGTACAAAGTTCCACTCAAACATAATTTTCTACATAATAAGCTTTTGTTTTCTGCCCTGAAATGGAAGTGACTGTGTTATGTTTTATCTATTATAATAAGTAAATATCAGTTAATACTTATACATTATTTTTATTCACAGCTAAAATCTAGATGAATCATTATAAGTATGCAGAAAATTTACCCTTCCATTATACCTACTACTTAATGTTTTTTGTATCAAACAGTTTAAACAATGTTAAACCAAGGTAATACCTGATGCACTTCATGCACTAGATATGCAATGCACAACACAACTGGATATGAATTATAACAAAATATTTTTATATCATATGATAATATTAATTACAACCAAAGTTACAATGCTAAACATAAGCTAAGCTTTATTTCTCAATATCCTTGGCCCCTTTCCCCCCCATAGAAAAACCCCAAAATACAAAAGCACAAGAACAATTTGATTATAACAGAGGATATTCTATATCATACTCACAAAACATAACCCTCTTAATCAACCTCCTCAATCTTAGGCCCAGCACCACCACTACCTCCACCCATACTGCCTGAAGCACCACCACCTGGCATGTCACCACCCATATCCATCCCCGCACCAGCAGCACCACCACCACCATACATTTTCGCGATTATAGGATTACACAACTCCTCCAACTCCTTCTGTTTATCCTCAAACTCCTCCACTTCAGCCAACTGATTCTTATCCAACCACTCAATTGCCTTATCAACAGCCTTCTCAATCTTCTGCTTATCTGAAGCATCGAGCTTACCTCCAATTTTATCATCCTTAATTGTGTTCCTCATATTGTATGCATAATTCTCAAGAGAATTCTTAGCATCCACCTTCTTCTTCACCGCCTCATCTTCAGCCTTGTACTGCTCCGCTTCCTTCACCATTCGTTCAATCTCTTCCTTGCTCAACCTCCCCTTATCATTAGTGATAGTAATCTTGTTTTTCACCCCTGCAGTCTTATCTTCAGCAGAAACATTCAAGATACCGTTTGCATCAATGTCGAAGCAAACATTAATCTGAGGAACTCCCCTAGGGGCCGGGGGGATTCCTTTAAGCTCGAATGTACCCAACAAGTTGTTGTCCTTGGTCATAGGACGCTCTCCTTCGTACACCTTGATCAGCACACTTGGCTGATTATCAGAATAAGTAGAGAAAATCTGCTCCTTCTTCGTCGGGATTGTTGTATTCCTTGGAATGAGCACAGTCATCACACCTCCTGCTGTCTCAATTCCAAGAGACAACGGGGTAACATCAAGTAAGAGCAGTTCCTGAACCTTCTGATCACCTTCACCTGATAGAATAGCAGCCTGTACAGCAGCTCCATACGCGACTGCCTCATCCGGGTTAATGCTCTTACAGAGTTCTTTCCCGTTAAAGAAGTCTTGCAGAAGCTGCTGTACCTTAGGAATCCTCGTCGACCCTCCTACCAGCACAACATCATCAACTTTGGACTTGTCAATCTTTGCATCCCTTAAACACTTCTCCACAGGATCCATACATTTCCTGAACAGATCCATACACAGCTCCTCAAACCTTGCCCTCGTGATTGTTGAATAGAAATCAATCCCTTCATACAAGGAATCAATCTCAATTGTCGTCTGAGTAGTCGACGAGAGAGTCCTCTTTGCTCTCTCACAGGCAGTCCTCAACCTCCTCAACGCCCGAGCATTTCCAGAAATATCTTTCTTATGCTTCCTCTTAAAATCAGCAACAAAATGATTCACCAATCTGTTATCAAAATCTTCACCTCCGAGATGAGTATCACCTGCAGTGGCCTTCACTTCGAAGATCCCTTCCTCAATTGTTAGAATGGACACATCAAAGGTCCCGCCACCAAGGTCGAAAATGAGCACGTTCTTCTCCCCTGTCCTCGACGCCTTCTTATCCAAACCATAAGCAATGGCAGCTGCAGTAGGCTCGTTGATGATCCTCATGACATTCATCCCGGAAATCGACCCGGCATCCTTCGTAGCCTGCCTCTGAGAGTCGTTAAAATACGCAGGGACAGTAATAACAGAATTTTTAACAGTCTGTCCCAAATAAGCCTCAGCAACTTCCTTCATCTTTGTCAGAACCATAGAAGAAATCTCTTCAGGGGCAAACTGTTTTTCTTCCCCTTTATAGTTGACAACAATCATAGGCTTGTCTGCTGGTCCAGGAACAACCTTAAAAGGCCAGTGCTTCATGTCGGCCTGAACAGTAGCATCAGAAAAACGTCGACCAATAAGACGCTTAGCGTCAAAGACAGTATTCTGAGGGTTCATGGCAACCTGATTCTTAGCAGCGTCGCCAATAAGCCGCTCAGTGTCGGTAAAGGCGACATAAGAAGGGGTGGTACGGTTGCCTTGATCATTGGGAATGATCTCAACTCGATCATTTTGCCATACACCCACACAACTGTAGGTTGTACCAAGGTCGATACCAATAGCCTTGCCTTCGGCTTTCGCTCCGGCTGACATGATGATAATATGAATGCAAAGAAAATAATCAAGAAAACAGTGTTTGTGTTGTTTTTGTTGGAAGTAAAGAGATGGTTGTTGATGATCTTATTGTTTGATTGTTTGTGTAATCTGTGTTGATTGAATGAAATGAATTTGAGAGATGGTATATATATATATATATATAGTTGTAGGAGAAAGATGGAAATTAATGGCGGTAAAAGTGAAGGATCGAGAGAAAGGTGGAAAGATGTGGAGTTGGAAAGGAAGAGAGTACAGGCTTGTCGAGAACTGTTATAATTAGAAGGGGCGGGAGTTTTCTGGGACATTCTTGGTTTTTCTACCACGTTTTTTTTATACGCCTAAAAAATGGTGACTTTGATAAATTTTTTGACGCAAGGTTATTGGGCTTGCAATTATTTACAGGTGCTCGCACTTTAAATTAAATGTTTATACTGCCTTCGTTTTATATTATTCTACTTGTATTGATTAGATATTTTTTACTCTCACTTTACGTCAAATCGTTGTAAATAATATGAAACAAAGGTAGTACTATTTTAGTTCAATTAGACTTTTTCTAACAAAATATTTTCTAATATACATAGCCTAAAGTTTAAAATTTAACGTTATATATTTAGAAATCAGTCAATTTTTGAAATTTGGCATCATAGCTTTGATGCATCCCGGGGAGATAGAAGGTTACTTAAAATTAATGCCTAGTAGTTGGCCACCTTAGGTCACCTGATGGCCTATGGTGGCCTTGATTCAATGACAGAGGCGTGTTTGTAACTAGCTAAAATGATAGCTACGAGGGCAAGCGGATGATTCAAACCATCAAATTAGTTTCTCGGGATATCATGGGGTTCATGGGAACCATCTCAACCTATTATTCTTCCGAGTTCAAAAAAGTCAAAAATTTAATAAAATTGAAGGCAATAATTCACGATTTTGTATCAATTTCGGGAAACATTTAACAAAACTGAATGTGAAGGGTGTGTCCCTAGGGTCTAAACTTAAAAGTTGGTTTAGAACCACAAAATGCTTACCAATAGGTCTCTAAACTCTCAAGAATGAATTTGGATCAATATCATTGATAACTCTAAAATAAGTAATATTACTATATTAGTATTATTGGAGTTGGGGATTAGGGTGGCCGGATTGGTCACTCAACACAACCAACATCATATTTATAACATCCATTGTGCTGAATTATAATACAATGCTTGCAAGAGCTACATGCATTAAACATTACTTCCTTGCTATTACTATAACTTCTACATGTCTATCAGTAGAAAACTTTTATTTATGGGTAACAAGCACTGTACATTGGCGTTAATGAGTATACAAACACCAGTGCAGACTGTATTTAAGCCCATGTAGGTAACACAGAGGTGACAGCATCAAACCATCATATTATTTACCGCCCCACCACCACCGACCGGATGAAGTTGAACAGTTTTGCTGACCACAACCTGAAGTACTCCGGGTTGCTCTGTTAACAGAAAAATTAAAGTCAAAAAACTATTGACAAAAAGTTAATTTATCTCCGTTTGAAACTCAAAGTTACAGAAAAAGTTCACATTTCTTTTGCCAGGTCATAAAAGGTGACTGGTTCTAAGTAGATGCGCAAAATTACACCATTCCCATATATTTAAAGCAAAAGAAAACAGATCATTTTCAAGGCATTCAGCAAGGATATTACAAGAATGGCAAACTCTGAACACAAATCATGGTTGTGCAAATTTGCACTATAAAAACGAGGGGCAAGAACACAAAATAGATTTTAGGAGCACAACAACACATGGATGCTTTACTGAAGTCTGAAGCTCTCAACCATAATATGCTAACTCGAAACGGATCAGCAGTAGCAGTGAAAACAAAACAGACCTAAATATGGAATTATTTAGCTTGTCAGGATTGTTATCATAAAGGCAGCCTTGTAGTGGCACAAAATTTTATGAACTATAGCACACTCTTCCTCACTACCCCAAATAGATACTTAGGTTGTGTTTGGTATAAATGGAGGAAATGGAATGGGAATGGAATGAGAGAAGCAAAGGGTAATGGCATGATAACCATTACTTTTATGGATAGTTTGGTATTAGAAAGGAATAAATTCAAATCAAAGAGGGAGGAGCTTAACATGATGTGATACCACTAAGTTGGGGAAGGTAATAGATGGGTGAAATCAATTTCCAAAAAGGGATATTTTTGCCATAACTTTCAAACTAAACAACCTATAACAGGAATACTATTCATTCCAGCACTATAAATCTTCATACCAAACATGCTCTACACTTTATCAAATATAACAAGTCAAAACCATCAACAAAAGCACAAGTAGTATGTCTGTAATCATCCTAATTCTCAAGTACAAATCATACCAAATCTATACTACTGAAAAAAAAATATGTAAGATAAAAGGCACAAATAATATCTTCGTAACTCTATCATCACTAATCACACTATTGATTAAGAAACAAAGCAAAAAACAATACTTTCGAGCTGCGAAACTTGCTCAGGAGTCAGCTTGGCCGAGAATCCAGTAGCTGCGCTCTTGTAAACATAAATCAAGGATTCCTTGGCTGCTTCTTCACTGCAGAAATAAGGGATATGCATTTAAGCTTAAGAAACTCAAAAAGTTCAACATCAACGGCAAGTAAGAATACATTTGCAGCTGAAAACATCTTGAAAACAAATTTGCTGCATCAAATGAAAAGATTACATTTTTCTAGGAAGCTTAACTGTGGACAGATCAATCGATCATCAAACAGACAACATCCATAAAAATTGCTCAAAAAACCAACTTTTCCCCAATTAACTGTCTCAAAAACATTCACCAACAAACTTCAATTCTTAAGAAATAATCCAGCAGATACAACCTAATAAATTCTCAAAAAATTCTGCCATTGTACAATTTCCATCATTAGTAAGCACAAAACTCATCATTTACAAATCAATTTCATTTCGCAATTGCCACACAATAACATAAAAAAGAAACCAAATACCCAAGAATCATCAAATCCATTCTACTTCAATTCAAAGAATCAAACCCTAAAAATATGGTATTGCAATCATAACAAGCAAATCCCGATTACAAATAAACCAAAAGAACCCTAGAAAAAGAGCGAATCACAAAAATCAATGATGATTTGAAATAATAAAGAAGAAGTAAAACCTGCCAACAACAGAAGAAAGGGTGCGAAGATGGGAGGATTCATGATCAGCGCCATCAGAAGGCTGTTCTGTGTAAACGATGTAAACATCGGCAGGAGCAGATGATGAAGGTGGAACAGTTTCAGCCATTGATGATTTTTTTTGGAGATTTGAATTTGTGATTGTAATTACAAAAAGCAGAATTATGGTGCAAAGATTAATGTGCATTTTCATCTTCTATTTATATAGGAAGGACTTCTTGTGTGTGCGCTTTTCCTATGGTTTCGTGTCAGCACACATTTTTCAGAGAACCGAATTTCTATTTTGATGGAATTATTTGTGTTTTTGGATAAACTTGATAAACTGGTAACTTAATTAGAAAGTTAATTATCTTTCCTCATAAAATGTGCTCACCACCGCTCTAGAAGACCTTGGACATTTGTTTCAACTGATTGAGTCGAAAAAGATTATATCATGGCTTAAAAACAACACGCTTAGTTTAGATATAACGTGGTTAGTTTAGATTATACAAGTATTTGTTTTTATTGAAAAACAAGTGTATGTAAGGGTTAGGCTTGATTTCTTTGAACCAATTGAGACCAAAGAATTTAAAATGAAGAGAATAAATTTGAATTGTATTAGAAATATTCAGGCATGTGATGCTATAATAGGGTATTATTTGTAACCATGAGATGCTATAAAAATGAAAGGATCATTAAGTTTATGCAACATTCCAAAAAAAAAAAAAAAAAGGTGGAAAACTCAATGCCAAATCATTTGCAGCACTAGCTAACAAAGTTCCTTAAACGTATCAATTCATTTACACAAAGTAACTAGTTGAAGTTGAACGTATCAATTCATTTACACAAAGTAACTAGTTGAAGCCATATCTCCGATGCTCAAACCATATAACCATCTAGCACAAGAAAACTAGAGTGTGACCATTTCCTTACCAACATAGGTTACTACACTATTTCCGACTTACTGGGGGAGCTGTTATACATACAGTATAGGATTCACTAACACTGTTGTTACATCGTGATATTTTGAAACCTTTGCACAAATATATACACAGGTGCAAGCCTTCCAGTGCACCAGAGTAATATATTTATATAAATACAAATAGCTGAACCAAAGGTGGTGCAATGGTAATTATGTCTGCATATATATAAGCTGCGCGTATTGGACGCTGTTTTTAGGACACAAGAGCAGCCACAACCACTAGTTACCAGATAGTATTATGGAGCACTGCACAAAAATAAGATGCCAAAATCATGCCGTACTTTCAGTCTGGGATGTTAGTCACTGCCAGTTGAGTTAGTTTGATCATCCTGTACAGTGATACCAGCCCATAAATTGTTCATAGATTGCAATTGGTGGAAATCTTGGGATTTCAGGGACATCTTATAAAGCTCTTTCAATTTCTCAGCATCTCCAAACCTCTTTGATGATGGAGTTGGTGCCTGTGAAGCAAAAGCCGTTTTGTTCGGACCTGCTGATAGAGAAGAGGCCAACATCTTCTTCAATAGCATCTGCAATTGCCTCCAGAATTTAGCAAAGACATCTGACTTGTCACTAGAGGAGGAATCTGAATGCACTTGCTCTGAGACGTAATGTCCTTCAAGCAGGCAAGTCAAAGCAGTTTCTAGCATCTGCACAATTAACAGATAGTTAGCAATGTCAAACTTCACAGTAGAATATAGCTAAGTCAACAAGCATTCAGTAACAACAGCCTTGTATGACGTGTCTAGTAACTACTTGTTATATAAGATATATACCCTGGATCCGCAACTTTCTAGAAAACTTAATACAATACCCATAGGCCATTCTTAACCATCATCATGTGTATCACTCAATGGAATAGCAAAAAAAAAGAACACCTTACCACAGAACTCAGAAAAGGCCCATCCAATCCTCTTTCCCTTGTGGTTTACATTTCTCTAGTGAACTTTAATATTCTCACTTCTCTAAATCCATCTCAATAGCCAAAATAAATCCACCCAGATTTCTCCTACAGGCATACACCTTATATGAGGTGTTGGGTAGGGATAAGATCATAATACTATTACATGACCATACCACCAAACAGATACTAATACAATTCTATAATTCCAGCTTTTTCATAGTTTGTGGGTGAGAATAACAATAACTGGTGAGATTGGAACTTCTGCCTAAACATGTGAAGAAAAAGATTTGAACATCTTAGCAAGGAAACGTACCACATATGACTTATAAACACTATGGAGATTTGATAATAGAGCTGCTCTCTCAATTAATATGGTTAGATACATGGTAGGATGTCTCTTTGCACTGTAGTATTCAACAGCCTTCTGCCAGTTCCTCTCA